GATTTTTGAGCAAAATAAATTGATGCAGTGGTCTCCTTTGTTGTATTTTTTTATGAAGACATTACATTAAATGGTAATCATTTCAGTTTTCAAAGATCTGTAAATCTCAACTGTCAATTTTGCTACTTTGGAGGGAATGGCTGCTGTTCATGTCAGTTTGGCTTTATTGCGAAAAAGGCAGCAGTAAAGAGAGGAGGACGTAAGGGAGGACAGAAAGGAAAAACAAATGGAGAAGTATCAATGTAAAGTGCATTTTCCCGCTTTTTACAAGTGTGCACACCCTCTAATACATCACTATGCGTGTTTACAAATGGATCCACTTTAAATTTTAAACCAGCACCTTGAAATAACAGAGAGATGAGGGTCATTCTAATGTTTAGTCGAGATACGTTAACACTCAGATGGATGGGGTAGTGTGTGCGCGTGCATATGTGCTCCAGAGGTAATCATGCGTGCCCCACTGAGGTTTTTTTTGTGACACAGGAAGCAGTGATGTAATAGTATACAATCCAAAGGCTTTTTCACACACTCACTGTCTCCTGTCCTGCATCTCTCACACGCTGTTGTATTTGCCCCTCGGCAACCACGATATTCCAAGTCCTACAATCATGTGGTTGTGGATGCAGTCTTTGAGCTCTCGGGTTGAGACAAACACACACTCGCAAACGCGTATATGGAGCACGCGGCTCGCCAGCTGAGAGCATTGAAACGTCTTTAAATGAGAAACTGATTTCAGAAGAATGCACACAACAGATCTTTGACCCTGACAGACAGTCACTTTCTTTGTAGAATGATTCCCAATTTAACCATGCAGTTTTTTTTAACACTATTTTTTATTGGAAGGCTGTTGAAAAGTACCAAATGTGTTGTTGTCAAGAATGTAACGTACTCTTAAGTACAACACCAAAGTCTTGAAAAGTCTCATTTTGGAGAATAAAACATCCATAAATACAAACAGGCTTTTAATGACAGTTTCTTTGATTGGTCATTCTGATGGTCTTTCATGGGATTTATTATCCATATGCTACTTAATAAAGCACACTTTGTGTTTTGTGGATTCAATGTGTCACCATTTGTAAAACTATAGCTGTCGGTAAGTTTTTATAGTGCAGCAGTGAATGTAACAAGGCATCATCCTACAGTAACTGTTCCTGCCTTATCTTTAATAACCATTAACACTCGCTTCTTATGCTGTCTTTCTATTCTGCATGCCATCATTCCTAATTTTGTAGTTGTGCCGTGGAAGAAAAGTGGCCCTTTTTAAAAGTTTGAAGGTTTGTAAGGCAACATTTTGAGGCAGTGGAAAGATGTGATCTGTGGATTCATCATGGTTATGCATTTCTTACTTTATTCATGTCTTTCTTTTTCTGCTTTACTTACCAAAGTATTCAGACAAAGAAGTATTCAAAAATGTACCATAGTAGTATTATCATTGTCATTTGTCTGTGGTACAAACAATGCTAAATATCCAAAGAAAAAAGAAGAAATAGCTTCATCCCTAGCTTATATTTCTAGCTAGCTTACAGTTAACATCTTTTAGTCCATTCATTGGCAGGGGTGAATAAACACAGACTACAAATTAGGGATTTACCTAAATGCAGATTTGTTACTTGGGAAATCACAGAAAAATAAATGGAAATAGATATGTCTTCCATTCGAAGTCGCTTGTTATTATTCTGAAAAATAAAAAATGTCATTTGTTTTTTTTTTTCAAACAGATTTATATCTTTGTACATGACAACAAGGAACATTTTGTAGGCATCATAGGACACTGAATTCATGAGATAGTTTAATTTACCACACACTAGTGAAACTCCTCACCAAATCAGTGGATAGCAGGCTAGAGTCTATCCCAGCTGACTTAGGGCGAAGGCAGGGGACACCCTGGACAAGATACATAATCCATCCATCCATTATCTATACACCGATTAATCCTCATTAGGGTCGTGGGGGGGCTGGAGTCTATCCCAGCTGACTCAGGGTGAAGGCAGGGGACACCCTGGACAGGTCACCAGTCCATTGCAGGGCTACACATAGAGACAGACAACCAAGCACACTCACATTCACACCTACAGACAATTTAGAATCACCAATTAACCTCTAAATGAAGAAGTCTCATTATTGTGTTGATTAGAGGCTTGCTGAAAACAGTTTAAAAAGGAGAAAAAAAAAAACAAGAAAAAAAACATCAATAACATCAATGCTTGGGTTTGAGAGCTGCATTGGTTAAGATCAGTTAACTATGGTAATATCCTTTCCTTTTCAAGGATTAACTTTCCAGTGAGGTCACGATGTAGCAGACCATAGATAAGATTTAGTTAATTTTTCTACAATACTCTCAGAATACAGAATGTCATTTGTCAATATCATTGCTGCTTCTTTATTGCAGGTTTCTGTTACCATCTTGTTACCATAGCAAAAAAATCTCTCTCAGTCTCAAGTTTGTTATAGGATTGTTCTGTGCTGTAAAGGTATTAATACAGATGATGATGTGTAGCATGTGGCGTTTCTTATTTTTTCATAATTAGGAAAAATCTTATAGAATTCCGTCCTGTCGCATTGATGGGACTTTTGGCTCAGAACCCGTGCCTTTCATCGTGGAGCATGTCCATGAGACGAGTGATAACATATATTAGGCTATAAGTGGAGAACCCAACAATGCAAAGTAGCCTTTGGACTCCCTCTGAGTAAGCAAGAAAACAAATCAGACTGTTGTCCATTTCTGCATTACTGATCGTAATCGCAGCAGAATACTAAAAGTATGTAGGGGAAAGACTGGCGTGTTAGGAAATAGGAACCAATCACACACGTACACACTCAGTCATCACTTGGTCACTTGCCACCAGGCTCTTTTACTGGATTGAATTGCCAGAAATATGCTAATGAAGTGCATGGCTGTATGAGTGTGTGTGCAAAGAGGAGGGCGTCACTCTCCGTTATCTCACGTTCACACTACTTAAACTCTGTAGGCCCCTTCAAACAGGCAGCAAGGGGAGGGAGCAGGGTGAATGTGTGTGTGTGTGTGTTGGGTGGTGGAGGGGGTAGCTTTCGGTACCAAGGGGAAATAGGACTGTGATTTCAGACCAAATTAAGCCACATCAAACAGGCCAGATCAAAGAGTATACAGCTCTTACTGTCTGTGCCAGTCTGACATCACGGCAGGATGCCCCACCCCCCATCACACTCACACACTCACGCACATTACACACACACACACACACACACACACACACACACACACACATTTCCTTCCTACTGCTCTCCTGCACCTTCGTTTTTTCATTACTCCCTGCATTACTTCCTGCATTTCACCCTGGCAGATTTCCCACATCTCACTGTTCCTGTAAGGGTAGTCTGACCCCCTGCCGATATAAATACATCCACCAACCCCCATGCACACAATTTGCAAGTGTTTAACAGGGTTATAGGTTAACCCAGATCAAGTATAATGTAATATGTTCTGAGGCTGGGGGTGTGTGATAGAGCAGTCATCCAGTCTGAAGAAGTGCTGTGAGGATGGGGGAGCAGCATCCATTAGAGACACAGGCTGTTCTAGTCAAACCCTTTGATGCTGCGTGATGCCAGTGGCTGTCAAGTGTTCTGTATATATACGTGTGTGTGTGTGTGTGTGTGTGTTTGGGTAGGTGGATTAGATGGCTGCATAGGGGGGAGAAGCAGGGTTTTTGGGGATGAAGGAAGAGGTGAAGGGAGGTTGAAAAAAGGAGGGGGTGCAGGGTACTGATGGAGAAGAGACTGAAGCAGGGCTATGTGTGTCTGTGTGTGTGTGCCTTTGTGGAAAGAGAATAGGGAATTGAATTGATGACAAGTTGAGAAAGGTAGAGAGTTAGAGCATTACAGGGGAGAACAAAGAGTATGAAGCACACAAAGGCTACACTGAAGTGTTTTATGCAGAAAAAACAGAGTCAATCAAATGTTTTTGTGAAATACAGTAGATGACAGACTAATATTATTCATTTAAACTCAAATATATATTTTATATAATTTATCAAGTAAGAGTGCAAAAATATTATCAGCAAAATGTATCTGAAGTTTCAAAAGTAATGATCATTGATCTGAGCTTCAGCAATTAATTGATTAATCAATGGGTTGTCATCTATTAAAAAGACTGGCAACTAAGTTCATAATAACTTAATCAGTATCTGCATTTTTTTTCTGATTCTAGCTTCCTCATTTTGTATATATTTGGAAATCTTTCCCCCTCTAGGACAGTAAAATAGTTTTGGACCAAAGAAGACATTCGCTACCGCCATCTTCAGCTTTGGGAAACAATGCTCAGCATTTCTGACTAATCGATTAATCAAGAAAACAATTACCAGATTGTTGACAGTATGATGATCATTAGTTGTTAGTAATTCTGAATGTTATAATATTACTATATTGTTACAGATGCCTTAACTTATAAACAGTAACATAAGTATAATAATAAATATAATGCAGCTATTTGAAAGAGTAAAATATTTTTTTAGGTGCAACTAACAACTCTTTTCATTTATTTTATTATCTTTTTACTAAAATTTCAATTGGTCTACACATAAAATATTAGAAAAAAGTGGAAAATGCCACATTTCCTGACAACAAGATGACATTATAAACAGTTCAAAACCCAGAACTATCAAGAAAGCCAAAAAAAAAAAAAAAAAATTTAACAACTTTTAGAAAGAACAAACGGGATATTGCTTAGAACTTTGTTAATGTCAGATTTGACTGGGATGGAAAAAAAAACAACAACAACTGAAAGACAAAACAAATCCAAACGAAAAGAAGGCTGTGTCACATTCATCTGCTTAGCACAACTACATCAGACATTTGGCCGAATGAAATCCAAACCTGCGACATATTGATTGTTTCCCGTTACAGTGAATCCCCTCCTGAAATTTACTGTAAAGTGTGTAGTGACGTTTGTAAGCCTTAAATATCAAGAAATGCTTATTAATATTTTTTGTCTAAACTAACATGCGTTGTTGTCTTTGTGTTTCCAGTGCTCCTATCCTGTGTGGGAGGACTTCAGCGCCAAGGCCACCAAGCTGCATTCCCAGCTCCGGTAAGCTCCACTGAGAACAGAATAATAAATACATGAATAGTCTTTGGAACTGAATAGTGAGCAAAAACATCAAAATACTCTCTAATATCATAGAGGATCAAATCATTTTGGAAAAAGACAAACTTCAAAAACTGTACTTCTGTTATTTTTTTTCTCCCTTGTTCTTTAACGATTGATGCCAGTATTTTAAGACTATAAAGTCTATAAGTTTCTATCAGTTGCACATGTATTCAGTTATTTCTCAGCGATTTATTGATTTGCCTTTAGCAGTTAGACCTCCTGACTTCAGGTAAATACAGTACATGAGTAGTAAGTTGTTGCTCTTTTAACTTGTGCCAATATTGTGGAACACATGATTTTATTTTATTTTATTTACAAAAAAAACAAATAAAAAATGTATTAAAATAACAAATCTACTTCTTTCAAATTCTTTGCCCAAACCATTGCCACATTACCAGTTCAAAACCAGCAATCATTGAATACCAAAATCAGATTAAAGGTTAGTCGTGATGCCATTTTATATAAAGTAATTCTCATTTTCTGTCTCTTTAGAACCACTGTCCTGGCTGCTGTGGCCTTCCTCGATGCCTTTCAGAAGGTGGCTGACATGGCTACTAACACCAGAGGTAGGACAATAGTGTGTGTGTGTGTGTGTGTGTGTGTTAAAGAAAGTGTTGCTGCTTTTTTGTCGTGCACTCCACATTGCACCACTCTAAGGAGTATTATCATGTTGTTGAGATCTTATCAGCCAGTCTCCTAAATTCTCCTTTTTACTGATGAAAGTGTTTTCAGCAGCCTGGAGGTACACTCTGTAAACAATGCAGTGTGAATGCTTTGAAGTTAGGCACAGAGACAGAAATATGATGTAAGTATTTCAGAGAGGTCAATAAAAGTTATTGTTGTAGCAGGATTTCGTTCGACCTCCCATTGTAATAGGAAGATCACTTCTAGAAGACAGATATTCTATTGTGTTGGAAACAACACGTGTGACAGAATTCCATCTTACCACCAGACTTTTGGAAAACTGAGTAAAAGATAGCTTATTACTGAAACACAATACTATCTACAGAGACAAATTTAGTCCCTAGTTCCTTTGGGTCGAAATGAAAGTGAGGTTTCCGAGTTGAAGTCCATGTGTCCCCTTAGCAGTGGAAGTGTCCTCTGTGGTGTTGGGTCACCACAAGCCTGCAGAATATATACGATCCTTAATGGCACCTATTCATCTATTCTTTTAGAACATATTTCGTAATTTGATATTTTGATGATTGTGGAAAGCGCACATTGCTCAGTGTTGAAAAATTGTAAATGAATAATCAACATCAACACAAGTAAACCAACATATAGGTGTTGACTCGCAGGCGATTAGTGGATGAGCAGCGTGACGTACTTGAACACTTTAGGGTAAGTCAATGTGGTAATGACATTTTATGCCCGGAACTATAGAGATTACGAAAGTAATGAGTATATGGTCTTCATTATATCAAAGATATACCATTTACCCCAGTGTGCAGAATTAGTTAGCTGAGCAAAACCCATAGCCATGACTTTTTAATGAAGTACTGGAAGGTAAAGGTGAAAAGTTTTATGTAGAAGCTGATGTGTTTAGATACTCAATGTGGGAGTTGGTGACACAGACAGAGGTGCAGACTGATAGCTTGGAATGGATAATGCATCACAATATTGCTCTTATAGTTTTAGTACTTACATCCTGTACTGACATGGGTTTCTTGTCAGTCAGCATTTGCCTTTATGCAGTAGGAGGAGACTTTGCCCAGATGTAACACATCTGGTTTATCCAGTGTCTGGTATATGTTTGGTGCATATGCTTCTTACTTTATCCTCACATTCAGGTTGAGGGGGGTTGTGTGCTCTCAATGCCTGCAGCAGACAAACAGCAGGACTTTCATACAGTATGCATATATTACATGTGTGAGGGGAGCTTCTGTGCTTTTAACTGGTGGCTGTTTTGAGACTTTCACAAGCCGTCTGTTGACAATGCATTATTTTGCGGCAAGAGTAGAAAAAATGGATGGATGAAAACACAGAAGTGTTGAAACATTAGTCTGTTTGCACAGTGAAAGGCTATGAATTAGGCAGTGTGCTCCAGACCCCTTTTTGTGTTCTGAACATTTGCTGTCCTCGAGCTGAGAAGCGCCTTTTTCTTTTGCATTTTGCTGGAAGAACTCGGTTTCTACTGTATTTTTGGGTGCGTTTTAAAGTGTTGCATTACAAAAATGAATGGACATGACGAAATTTGAAAAAAAATCTCCCAAATTCTGCAAAAAACTTTTTCTATTCCTTTGAGTCAGAGCTGAAATGTTCAAGGCAGGTATGTACAGTAGTAGACACTGTTGATTTTGACTGCTTTCCATCAGGTTGCTCAACTTTGTGATCCTGAAAATGTCAATAAATAAGCTCTCATGACATTTTGGTAGTACATTTTCTACCCCTCAACTGCACATGTATCCTGGAGTGTTTGTAAATGCATACAATTTTTGAATGTAGAGCTTTTTTCCTGCACGATGCTTTGCCAAAACCTGCAGAAAGTTAAAGAACTATGGCTTGTAGGATGTTATTTTATTTTTTTTGGCTTGACACTCTTTACATACTTGATATTCTATGCGTAGGCCTAAAGCTTGGCGCTAGTTTTAATAGAGTGTGGGCTGAGAGCTCAGAAGGTCAGACAAACATTCACTGCCCACTGAAGGCCATTTGAATACTATGGTACCACTGAGGAAAGAGAGGGGAACGAGGAAGACAACTGTGGCTGTAATCCTGGAAATTTCTCCTTCTTTTGTGGATTATTAAGCGCAGCTGCCAGACAGGGCATGGGATGATGATGTATGTGTGCAGCCCCAGGTGGGCTCCTATAGCAGAGGATGCAGGAAGAGGCTCGTGCTGCTTTTACAGGCCAGGCAGGAAGTCACTAAGCTTTGTCAGCTCATTATACATGCTGCTACCATTGCCACACACAAACACGCAGATGCAAGAATATAACATAAATGTTGCCGTCACGAAGACGCAGACTGTTCATCAGAGGCTCTTTGTACTTTCTGTACTGATGAGTCATTCCTGTTGGAGTCCATTTGTCAGATTGCAATACAACTGCAGCTCTTTCTCAGTGTGTGATGCTCTCTAATAGATTTGTTAAATGGATGGAGGCAGGAGACAGCAATAATAATGATGCTCTCTGTCTTTGTGCCATTTACTTGATCAATGTGCCACTTTTGTAGAGGGTGTGAATCAAGCCCAAAGGGTACTGATGATCCCATGCTCTGCTTTTGTACCAACGGTCTCATTTATGAGCTGGAATTGGCAACGTTTCCATTCTGCTGTCAAACAAATTTTATGTGAAGTGAAACACTGCAAAATATTTTCATGAGCTGGATGCCAATGAAAAGTGGGCCATTATTATTTATGGAATATTTCTGGATCCACGGTGACCTGATTTTTACTGTCCAAAGGAACTGCATAACCACTAATGATACTGATATTGAATCCAGTTGAATATGTCAAGTCTGTATATTGTTACTTATTTGAAGAACTAATTTTCTGTATTCTACATTTATACTGTGACATATTTTGGAAGATTTTTGTCCGATAGGAACTTTCTCTAGGGTTTTGACTTATATAAGTTGGCTGGCCCACTGCTTTGGTCCAAACTGTAATAATGGACCTTGCGACTCGATAGAGATGTACATGGTCCCTAGATGATGCATTCCACTACCTTTGGTGGTCCCCAAAGTATCTTGTAGTACAACAAAGCTGGTACCTCCAGGTTAGAGTATTGCATTGCCATGATGTTTGGTGCACACAGTAATATTTCTGTCAGGAGTAGTTGCAATGAGTTATGTAATATCTTAACTTTTTATCAACTGCCATCATTGGATGCAAACTATTCGGTTTGTGACTAATAAATACCTGAAAAATTTAGGACATTTATCAGTGCCACACAAATATGCTGGTAAACAGCATACTTGGCTCACTAGTATGTCGATATTTGTAGTCGTAATGTTGTAGTTACCATGCTGTCATTACAGTGTAAATGCACTGACTACCCTTAGTGAACCATTAGCGTAGCTGCAGGCTCTTAGTGTTTTGCTTTGGTGTTATGACCTTATCAAAAACTGGAAAAAGGATATCTGTGTGGAAATTAATTCTCTGTATTTTGTCCACACTGCCTTTCTGTTCTTGGTAACCTTCTTCCAAGAGGTCAGATTAGGATAGAAATAATAAAAATATGAAGGAACAGAGAACTAAATATCCTTCATGTGACGTCAAAGTAATTACTGTAGAACACTAACTTGGCCGCATGCACACAGCCAATCGCAAAGGCTGCCGTTTAGGATGTACGAGTTGTGGTAATTAAATAATGAGACTAATTCTGTAATTCAATGTTTTTTTTTTCAAGTAAGTGGAAACTTTTAAGGCTTGTTTGTGCCCTCTGTTAATGTGGCATGCACGCGATGGTTTGACTAACATAAGTCCATTGTCACTATTCAATCGCCACATCTCAAACATTGTGCAGGGAGAGTTTAAGCTGTTGAATCAGTGGTTTTACAAATTCATGCCATCTGCCTTGTGTGACAGTCACACTGTTGCTGGTATCTTATGTAGTAATGCTCCATCACATGCTTTAAATCGGTTACACAGTAAATAATTGAAGCTTGACTCGCAAATCTAATTGTAATATCTACCAGAAAAATTGCAATTAGATATTTATCCCAAATAGGTCAGCCTTAATGCACAATGAAGAAAACTGAACAAAACTGTATATTTTATCATATACTATGCAAGGTGATCAATGGGAGAAGTGTCACAAAAGTGGATTTTTCAAGCTTGGTTCATGGTCAGGTAATGTTTTCTGGTTGCTAATGATTAGCTGTCAGATTTATTCACTTTTCTTCTCTAGCTGTTAAAGATAAGGAAGGCTGAGTAGAGGGTGAGAGAAACAGTTTTTCTTGTGTGTGTGTGTGTGTGTGTGTGTGTGTGTGTGTATAAGAGAGAGATTTAGCAAGCGGGTGAAATCCAGCAGTAGGAAGTGCACAAGTGTTTGTGAATTCCCTGGTGTGGGGTGACTGTGAGTGCACTTTCAGATGTACTCTCCACTCCCCTGTCATAGCCCAAACATTCACTTTCCTCAAGTGTCCCAAGGGCAAACTGTGTGTTTTACATGTGTGTGTGTGTGTTTGTGGGACAGACAAGCTCAGTGAAATGGAAGCACATTAACAAACACACAAAATGCTTGCTGCCCTGATGTGGCTTGGTCAGAGTCCTGTGTGTGTGTGGTGTGTTTCCCATATTTAATAACCTGTCTATTTGCCACTGTTTAACAACTCTTCTTTGGTCTCACTTGAGACTTGTTAAACTTTGCTGTCTTTTTTCTTTGGGCAGGAAAAAGTTTCAGAATTTTTCAAAATAAAGACAAAAACTAAACTAAGGAGCAAGTGTCCAACAACAGCCACTGTTAGACAAGCAGTTTTAAGCAATTGTGGTTTACTGGGCTTTTTGATGGAGGGTTGGGTCTCAGTTTTGTCTCTATTTAGATGATCTTACTGATAACACAACAGTCACAGTGAGATTTTCTAGTTTGGACTTTTCTTAGTATGATAACCAACCCCAGAGC